CCGAATCGTAATACTCATCATCATCATCATCATCATCATCATCATCATCATCATCATGTTCATCATCATCATCATCATCATCATCATCATCATCATCAGCATCATCATCCTCATCGTCATCCTCATCCTCACCCGACTCATTCTACGAACATCAACGCTATCATCAGCATGAGCAGCATCATCATCAGCATGGTCATCATCAACATCATCATGTGTTGGCTTCGTCATTGTCATGATCGTCATCGCCATCAACGTGTTCAGCATCATCATCATCATCATCAGCAGCATCATCATCATCAGCATCAGCATCAGCATCAGCATCAGCATCAGCATCAGCATCGTCATCATCAGCAGCAGCATCATCAGTATCATCAGCATCACCATCGTCAACAACAGCATCAACGTCATCATCATCCTTATCATCAATATCATCATCATCATCATCATCATCATCATCATCATCATCATCATCATCATCATCATCACAGCATCATGATGATCATCATCATCATCATAATCATCATCAGCAGCAGCATCATCCTTATCAGCATCAGCATCAACATCAACATCAGCAGCATCAGCAGCATCATCAGTATCATCATCATCATCATCATCATCATCATCATCATCATCATCATCATCATCATCATCATCATCATCTTCATATTATTCAACATCACCGTCATCAACTGAACTGTCGCCACTCAAAGTGTTGGGCGGGCACGGCGGCGGGATTTGCCGTAGGCAGTTGGCTGCGTGACCGACTGACTACGGAATGTGCAAGGAGGCGACATGAAAAGACGTTGCGGTGACGCTGCACATAAGAACCCCGCATTCACGATTTTGAGAACAAGCTGTCTTCGGCATCACTGCATCATGAACATCGCAGTGAGGCTGCTCCATCCACACGGAGCATGAAAACGGGACCAGGGACGCAGTGGGATTTCCGAAACAACAACTGTCACATGTGGAAGGGGTATTACCGAAACTCTCTGGCAACTCATGGTTGCGAGATGCCGATAGTGCACACGGGAGCGAATCTCACGAACTGCCAGACACATGACGGCGGACCGACGCTGATCATCGACGAGATCACGTGGCCGCGCCATCCAAGGAGACAGTGAAGGAGTGGCTCGAACGAAAGGTGATCAGAACGCAGCCGTGACACCGATAGAGGACAGAAGAAGAGTAGGGCACATCCTTTACCGACCAGCGTGAGCTCGTCCTTGGAACGCGGACCAGTACTACACTTGCCACCAGCGAAAGATTCCACTGAACTACTCCATGAAACATTTGACTGTAGCGGGGGATGTGCTTGCAACCCATACAGCGGTCCCCGTCGTGACGACGTCGGCGATGGTTTCCGGCACAGTGCGGACGGTTCGGACTGGAATGAGGGGGGGGTGATGCGGAGACCCCGCCACCAAAATGGCACGGGACGCCCGCAACCACACAAACACTCGGATTCCCATTTTGCGTACAAACGCCTCCGCCCAATTTCGCATCCTATACGAAACCTCACGGCGCGCAAACGCCCCAAAACCAAATTGAACGCAAGGGGCCGGCGGATGTGGCGAAAGCCTGTAGATCTGTTGCAACGATATCGTCACACATGTCGGATGCCAGAGCTCGAACTGAGTCCATGTCATTGAGCAATGTGTACGCCAACGCGAAAACAGTCATGCAAACTGTACAGACACGCGCGTCTGGCGTCTCTGGTCAGGCGGAGCCCGCGAGTCTCACTGAGCGCCACGGCCACTGCGGAGACGGCTCGGTGCGAGACGCCGCCCCGTGGCCGCGGAGATGTTGACACGATGTAAGACAATGTCGGTTGGATGGAAGCTCAGCGCGGCCTCGTCGCTGCGCTCGTACAGGACGCCAAGAAGGCCTCCATCGACGACTGCCATCCCGGAGTAGGCGGCACCTCCACCGTGGAGCGTCGCCAGAGGCGTCCACCCTGCTATTGCGGGCTGGCCAGCGCCGCCGCCCGTCTGCGCCTCGAACAGCTGCAGCTTGCTGCGGTACAGGACGCTGCCGTCGACTCCAGTGTAGAAGACTCGCTCGCTCCCGTTCTCCCCGACGGTGAGCACCGAGCCCTCGCAGCCCTGCAGCTGCTCGAAGAAGCGGGGCTGCGCAACCACCTCGAAGCAGCTGTCGCCGCTGCCAGCCGAGCCACGGCGAAGAAGCGTGCGGCGTGGGTTCCACGGGTTGTAGTTGATGGTGCGCGCGAAAGCCCAGACCTCTCCCCCGTAGCTGAAGTACTGATGCTCGTTCACCTGACCCTTCGATCCGCCGTACTCCTCGCAGGGGGTGGACCACTCCCCCGAGTCCAGGTCGTAGCTCAGCGTCATCCCGAACGAGTCAAGGCCGTCAAAAAGCTCCGGCTTGCGCGTCCACGCATAATAGAGAGGCACAAGCACGACGCCCTCCTCTGCCAGGAAGAGGCTCGCGGGCGGCCCGACGCCCGCCCACGAGGCGCCCCTGGGCGGGGCTGTCAGGACTGTCTGAAGGGGCCCGGCAAGGGAGACCGCGGGGACGCCTGGCGCCTGCGCCACCTGCAGCCTCACGGCATAGGTGCCGGTGTTCTCGCAGTTGAAGACCATCAGGAGGTCCCCACGCTGCGAGCTGATGACCGCCGGGGCGGGGTTGCTCATGTGCCTCTGGCAGTCCGCTGGGAGGCACTCGGACTCGGTGCCGTTGCAGAAACTGGAGTTCCTCAGTAGCGTCGCCAGGGACTCTACCGGGCTCCACGGCTCCGGCACCGCTCCCGCCGCCGCCGCCGGGCGCGTGCGGAAGACCAGCTCCGTCTCCGCGAAGTCGCCGTGCACGCCCGTGACGCCGCGGCGGCCCTCGGCGAACGCGACCAGCCTCGCGTCGGTCGCCACCAGCGCGGGGATCCGGAACTCCGAGTAGCTGTCGTCCCCGACGTCCACGCCGTCCCCGAAGAGCCTCTCGGGAGCGGCCAAGAGGGGGGTGTCCAAGAGGGGGGTGTGCAAATCATGACCGGCGGCATGTGCGCGGCCCAGCGTGGGGGCCAGGGACGTAATGAAATAAGAAGAGGCGCCATGAAATCTGGGGAAATATCATGGCCCACGCCATGAGATCCACCCCCCCCTAGTCATCACCCCCCTCTTTGCCGCCCCCGAGCCTCTCGGCACCGCCGACGAGCCGCGGGGCCGGGGCGTCGGGGCCCCCGCGGCCGAGCTGCACGGCCGTGGCGGCCATGAAGCCCAGGAGCCCGAGCGCGAGGAGGGCGCAGGGCGCGGCCGAGGCGCGGCGCCGCCGCGCCCACAGTGTCGAGGCGCAGGCGGCCAGGAGCAGCGCGGCCGAGCCGAGCGCGAGGAAGAGGAAGGACAGGAAGAGGGCGAGGCTGTTCGGGTGCTGCTGGGTGTGCCCGTGGCCCAAGGAGGATGCCCAAGGAGGCCCCCCAGGGATGCCCAAGGAGGCCCAAGGATGCCCAAGGATGCCCAAGGTGGTGCCCCCGGGATGCCCAAGGAGGCCCCCCAGGGCCTCCAGGGGGCCCCCACCACGAGGCCCAGAAGGCCCCAGGGGTTCTTGGAGCCAGGAGCTGCACCTGGCGGCGCCTTCGGCGCCGCCCCTGGCGCGCTCCGCGCGCCAGGGAGGGGGGTCCAGCGCCGATCCGAGAAATCCGCGCGGACCTCCGAGTTTTTATGTTTATGCCACTTGTTGTTCCCCTAACCTTGGCCCAGGGGCACCTCTAGCAACCGCCGAGCTGTTCATCTGCGCGAAGAAGATCAGGCACACGGTGGTGCCGGCCCCCCCCGCGGCGATCAAGGCGGCGGCCAGCAGAGCGCCGGTGCGCACGGGCCGGCCCTCGGCGCGGGGGCCCCCCGCCCGTCTCTTGGGGCTGCTGGCGGCCTCGTCGGCCTGGCCGGCGTCCTGGGTGGCCGGGATCTTGTCGTCGGCGTCGACCTTCCCAGGCTGGCCGCCCATGCTCACGGAGCTTCGCGGGGCGCGTGGGCGCGAGGGCTCGGCGCTAGACGTTGCGCGGGCACGGCTCGCGCCAGCGGGTTTGAGCCAGTATACAGAGGAAGAGCCATGCAACGATGTACAATGCAATGCGGCTCAATGCTAAGCAGCAAACAAAGCACAGCAAACACATGCATGGCAGGGTACCGTTTGGCAAATCACGGCACCGCATTACAGCGCCTCGAACAGCATCGCATGGCGTAGCGTAGAATTCGCTGGCCCAACGGGCCAGAGGCGTGCTAAGATCTCCAGTAACTACTTAACAATATTTCTAGTTCGCGCGCGCGAGGCGGCCCCTGGGGGCCCCCGGACGAAAAGTACCCCGGCTGATCCCCGGCCGGGTCCCGGGCGATCCCCAGGGGGGAGGCTATTTTTCGCCACCCCTCGCGAGGATCGTGGCCTCCGAGGGGGTGGCTGCAATCGACTACCCCCCCTCCCGCCCCAAGGGGCCCCCAAGCGCCCCCCAAGAGGCCCCAGGGGAGCCCAAGACGCCGCCAAGGAGCCCCAAGACGCTCCCAAGACGCTCCCAAGAAACCCCCAAGAGGCCCCCAAGACGGCCCCAAGAGGCCCTGAATAGCGCTCCAGGGCTGGCGGAATGAGCGAAGCGATTGAATAACAAGGCATGGAAAGGCATGGAAGTAGCTTGCGTTGCGCACTATTGTATTATATTGTATTGTTGCGTCGTACGGCAGCGGATTGCATGGTGCACCCTACCAAGTGGTAGCATTGCACGACGCAGCAAGGCATCGCACGGTTGGAACAACCAGTCGCGGCACAGACAGAGCCACCGATGGCAATGGCAGCACGCTGCAGCTCGTGCCACAGCAGCGCCGAGCAACACTGCACAGCGCAGGGAACCACCGCAGCGCCCCCGCCATCGGCCATGGCGCTCGACCCCTCCAGCCTGACGGCCCCGCTGCCCGTCCGCATCGGCCACGTCGAGAAGATCCCGCGGCGAGCCTGCACGTGAACGCCCACCGTGGCCCCGCGTGCACGAAAAACCGCGGTCAGACGAAGGCCGTCGGAAGCTGACCGCGCACACTTCTGTGAGTCAGCAGGGGCAGGCGAGCCGAGGCAGGTGCCAGCGCCGGTCGGGCTGCGGGCGGGACGCACGGGAACCGAACTGGGGCACGGCCCGCCGAGGCCCGCCCGCGCAGCACATGTGCGACTGGCCCCTGGGAGCCCCCCCCCCCGTGCGGCCCCAACGCCCGCCCCGGAGCTCCGCGCACCATCGGGCGCGCCCGCCGACCCGGCCCAGGGCCGAGGAGCTCTGCACCCGCGGCGGGCCGCCGCGGCGGGCGCCGGGCCCTCTGGGCGGTGCGTGCGGCGGTCTGGCCCGGGGCCCTGCGCCCGGCGAGCGGCGGCAGCGGGCCGGCGGGCAAGAGACAGCGGCCAGGTCGCCGCGCGGCGGCCCCGCGCGGGCCGCAGTGCGGGGCGGCCTGCGGCGGCGACGGACGCGGGGGCGGGCAAGGGGACGGCGGCGGCGAGGGAGGGGGCCGTCCTGGCGGCTCGGAGGCCGGGGCGGGGGGGTACCTGCCCAGACGGTGCCGGGAGAAGGATCGAGTACGAAATGGCCTGAGCCAAGCTTGCGAGCACAGCACTGCCTGCATAGCAAAGCATGGCGTTGTGCAACATGGCGCATTGCAAATATCAGAGAAAAACCAAGGCAGCTCAAAGTACAGCAAACAGAGGTAATGCAAATCAAAGCAACGCAAACGCAAATATTGTTACACTGGCACTCTAGCACGCGTGGCGAGAAACTTGGGACCGAGTCGCGAGGAACAGGCCTGGCAAGGGAGTCTAGGCTGCACGTTTTAACACAAAACACGCATTAGAATACACGTGGCAAGTCTAACTGCGGAAAATTGACTTGGCATGTCCCCAATCGCAGGGCAGGTTTGACCTCTAGGCCTCTAGGTGGCTTGGACCACACCAGACGGCTACTCGGCGATCCAGGAGAGGCCCCAAGATAACTCGCAAACTGCCCAAGACCACCCCACAAGAAAGCACCGAGACCGCCGAGGACCAGCTCAAGATGGCCACAAGACCCCTCAAGATTCACCAAGCACGGCTCCAAAAGTCCCCCAACACGTCCCAAAAACCCAAATAGTTGGCCCCACACCCCCCAGACAGCCCACAGACGTACGGAAGGTCTCCGAGCAGCCCCCCAGGAGGTCCCGAGAGAAGTCGCACAGAGATCCCCAACAAGTCCCCAGGAGGCCTAAGAGAGGCCCCCAAGCAGCAACGCTGCAGCCGTGCCGCGCAACGGTACCGCTGCGGAGCTGCCAGTCCCCAACACACGCTGGCGGAAGTGCTCGCTAGCGCAACTGGCCGCTCTCTCGGAGGCGACGATAGCCCAGGGGCGGGCACTACACGTGGACCCTGCGGGAGCCTCGCCGAGAAACATCGGCACCCCTCGATACATGTCTTGCCCCACTGGTCTCTTCGCTCCTACCGTCGCCTCTGAGCTCTCTCCTCTTGGGGAGAAGCTCGATCGAAAGCGGTCCCAATCAGACCGTCAAATCGCGCCCAGCAGACCAACAGAAAACAAGCCGGAGGCGCACGGACACGCCGTGGTGGCGAAGCGGGGAGGCGCACGGCGACGGCTGGACGACCCCCAGAGGGCCCAGACGAGAAGTCAAGCGCCAGAACGAGCCGACGCCAAGCGCCCCCGTGGCATTCTCTTGGTTGTGCCCGACGGGGTGCAGGCCACGGCGCTTCCCGCGCCCACAGGGTCAGGGGCTTCAGAGGTGCAGTGACAGCCTGTCATGTCAGCTGAGAAGTATGACCCCAAGAGGGCTCAAATGCGATGCCAGCTGCATCGCGGTGATCCTGGGGCTCTAGACGGCCACTCTACCCGAGAGGTTCCACCATTCTGGACGCGAACGGGCCCGTGCAAGACGCCCTGGTTGCTTCCCCTTGGGAGGGGCATGGCGGTTATCAGGATTACACGCCGCCAGTCTGAATATGAGTGAGCCTGAGTATGCGTGGGTATGCATGTGAGTGAATCTGAGCATGAGTGTGTCTGAGTGCATGTCTGAGCGTGAGTGAGTCTGAGTATGAGTGAGTGTGAGTATGAGTGGGTCAGAGTCTGATTGGATATGAGCATAAGTTGCCCTGGAGCCTGGAGGGTGAGTGAATCTGAGTATGAGTGAGTCTGCGTGGGAGAGGATCGGAGTGTGAGCAAGTCTGATAGTAAGTCTGACTATGAGTGGGATTTTAACAACTGACAGATATGGAGAGGGAAGAGAGCGGGAAGGAAGGACGAAGTGAGAAGGCGGCGCCGTGACACTGATAACAAGAACATCATACGACGGATATGATAAATCATGCTATACACTTGCGGACTGCATGTTCTTCTCCAGGCCCTGGTCTCCAATTCAGCACCACCCTGACTGGTACTTAGCGAACGTTCTCATCGATGCACATAGCCAGCGCTTTCGCACCACTCTGCTGCACCATCCCGCGCGAGGGTGACGCTCGGCCGCCGTCTTCCTGCCGCCTCTCTTCGCGCTACCGCAGCACTCGCTGCTGGGTGCCCGTGACCGGGGCGCTGGCCGACGCGGAGGAGCCCTGCCCCAGCCGCCAGGGGCGCGGCCGTAGGCGTCCACGTGCAGCACGCGGTCCCGCCAGAGCGCCAGGCAGCAGAAGCCCGGGATTACGCCCCGGTCGACCTGCCGCCGGATGGCCACCCGGTAGGCCTGCCGCGCGAGGGCGGGGGGGGGCAGGCGTGCCCGGGGCTCGCCTGCCCAGATGAGCGACCCTACGCCGCGGCTTGCGCGGGCCGTCAGCGTGGCACACCTCTCTTGGAGACGAGGGCGGTCACGGCGCGACCTTACGCGGGAAGCTCACGCGCGAGTGTCCGCGCAGTCGAGGCCTTTTCCTCCCGTCGCCCACATGCGACGAATAGGAAGGCGTGCTGGAACGCGCTGCCTGCTACGGCGGCAAGCGCTGGGTGACCTCGGCCGTCGGCGGACGAGCACACGGGCCTGCCTCCCACCAGCCGGCTTCTAATGTGGACCTGCGTGATACGAAACCCGGGGGCTGGCATGACCGAGATAGGGGCAGCGTCAGCAGGGAAGATGCTCAACCGCAGGATTCGTCGGGTACGGACAGCAGCCGCTGACGAGCGGTCTGGACGTAAAGACGTAAGCGAATCCTGCCTACACTAGCAACATCATGTCCTGCCAGTCATCATCCCCGTTTCTTTTGCCCCCACCCACTTCGGCCCTCTC